CGGCCGCCGCCCCTGTCGGAAATCGCTCCGCTGTTACCGGGGCAACCGCCGCTCCCGGCCAGCCCCGCGCGTGCCCCGCCCAACGGCGGAGGCGGCGCCCGGCGGCGGGAAGGCGGGAGGGGAGGCGGAGGCGCGAGGCCGCGCTGCCGTCTCGGGGCCCGCTGCCCGCCGGGGCGGCCTCAGGTAGGGGCCGGGGACAGGGCCGCGGGGGGACCGCCGAGGGACCGGCTGTGGGAGCCCAGAGGCCCCGCCGATGGGCGGTTTTCCACACGCGTCAGTGCGTGTTTCTAGCCCCTCAGTGGCTGGAACGGCGGGGGGCCCCTGGTAAGGCCCGTGAACCCCCTCACCGCCCCTTGCCTGCCCATGGCCCAGGTCTGGCCTTGTGTGGTGTCGGTTTAGTTACTGTTCGCTGAAAGGTGACAAAAACACTGTAACTGTGGCTCACTTTGGGAGAAATACAAAATATGGTGGGTGGGGTTTTTTACGGGTGTAGGCCATTCTGTGCCATCAATGACTGTGCCGTAAGAAATCTGTGACAGTTTTGCACGGTTGAGGCCTGTGGGATTATAACCCTGAGCATCAGCAGCTCAGCTGAGATTGGGGGTTCCCTCTACGGGACTTGTCCACATTATTCATTTAGTTTTAAGTTCTCCCGTGGTTACAAGTACTGTTTAATGTCTGCTGGTAATTAAGCATTATAGAATCATAGAATGATTTGCGTTGGAAGGGACTTTAAAGATCATCTAGTTCCAGCCCCCTGCCATGAGCATTATTAGTGTAGAACATTGCTGTATTAAAAAAAACAAACCCCAGATGTCAGCCTGGTAATTTTAATGGAGATCTGATCAACACAATGTTTGAAAGAACATCAATCTTCATCTACGCTAATTCTCTCAACATTATTAACAAGTTTGTAGCAGACTAGATTATAGAATCATGGAATTGTCTAGGCTGAGGGGACCTTTAAGATCATCTAGACCAACCACCAACCTAACTCTGATAAAGACCATCACTAAACCATGTCACTAAGCGCTATGTCAGCGTGTCTTTTAAATACCTGCAGGGATGGTGCCTCAACCACTTCCCTGGGCAGCCCAGTCCAATGTGCAATAACCCTTTCAGTGCAAGAATTTTTCCTAATATCCATCTGAACCTCCCCTGGCACAACTTGAGGCCTCGACAGGAGGAGTCACCAGATAAACTGAAATGTCTCTCTCAAGCATCATTTAGGTTCGCTGCAGCTCAGTGTAGTTCAGTGCTCATACTGGTCCTGACCTCATTCCTGCCCGGGGAGGCAAACGACTCGTGTGAACTCAAATAATAAACGAGACCCCCAGTCTCTGTGCCTGCTCTCTCCTGGAACATGGGTGCTGCGTTTGTGTTTCTGTTCCTACTGAAATCAATAGCGAAGGGATGCCCTACCCAAGACTCAGTACAAAGTGCTGTTCCGCTGGCAGGGAAGTAGAGATTTGGTTAGTGATGGGTGTGAGCCTATTTCATAATCAAAATATTTCATTGCTTAAGGCACGTTAAAAAATCAGCCAGCCCCACCCGAGGCCGAGCGGCAGCCCCACGGCCTGTGTGTGACCCACGGGGACAACTGGCCCCTGCGCACAGTCCTGCTTTTTGCCAATCCAAATTTCCTAGAATAAATCGTACAAACAACCCTGGAGGAGCTGTGCAGACAGGAACAAGGATGCCACAAATGAGGCGGCGAGTTAACGACCCAGCCAGCACTCAGCAGTTTGGGTTCAGATAGTAAGATCTTCCCTGAGTGAAGAATGAATGTTTACACGGTAAATTGAAATGCTTTAGATTGTAATCCCCAAACCATGACTGTTAATTTCACGTTAATAGCTGAAAGAGTCCACTGACATAGCGCAATGGCCCGTAAATTCAAAATAAATCAGTGTTTTCTCAGAAGAGGGGCCTCTATAGACTAATAAATTCTTATGGGGAATGCTTTTACTCTGTTTAAGCACCACGCAGCTCACAGAGGAGTGCCCTGGAGATAACACGCATCCAAAGCTCGCCCTTGTTCACTGTTTTCTTATTTCCAGGTGTCACCTCGGCGTTTAAGGCCACGCTTACCCGGCGTCACCTTTCGGAATGTCCCCAGGCGCCGGACGGGGAGGTGAGGAGCCGGGGCGCCGCTCTCCGGTGAGGAGTTCTCTGTCGCGATAGAAACGGTCCCGGTTCCATCGCCGCCGGGGAAGAAACCGCCGCCGGCCGTCCCGGGGGCCTGCTGCCGTCCCGGCGGGCCCCGCACTGGGGCGGCGCGGCCGGAGGAGGGACCGGCCCTCCCGCCGCCGCAGCGGGGGAGGCGGGGAGAGAGCGGAGGGAAGGAGCGGGGGGAGGCGGCTGCGGCAGCCCGG